TTTGTGCCCTAACTGAAGTCTCCCATGCCAGACAAGCCTGCTATAGTTACAAAAGCAGCACTGTGCTTCCACTACTGTCACTGGCGCTCATATGCAGCAGCATCTTGTCACCAGTAGGCCATGGGGTGGCAGCACCCCCCCCCCAAACGCTAGTGCTGCAGTTGGCTAGGGCAGGCAGAGCCCCATGCTGTCACCACCCTGCGATCCAAGCCCTGGCCCCACGCATCTGTCCTGTCCCATTCCCAAATGCTGCTTCCACCCACCTGCAGGCCCATCCCATCCCATCCCATCTGCCTGGCCAAACATGTTCTGCCCAGGTGTGTCCCAGGCTGGTCTCCATGGAGACCTTTCCCACCTGCCTGTTCTGTCCAGCACCCCCACTGGTGGGTGCAGGGTGGATGGTCCCAGGGTGGCCAGGCAGTGGAGCTGGGTCCAGCAGTGGTGGGGATAGCGGGGTCTGCCAGGAAGAACGAGTCTGGCTACTGTGCTGCCCCACCCCAGAGCCCCACTGCCCAGCCCCGCACACTATGTCTCCCAGTGTGCCCAAGAGCTGCATATGGGGTGGGGCGGACTATGCCAGGCAGCACCTCCACACCTGGGGACAGCAGGACTTACACACGCCAGGGTCCAGGCTGCCCCCTGTACCTGGACTGGATGGAGTTGAGGGACCCACTGTGGGCTAGACAGAATCCCTTGGCAGGCTGGATCTAGCCCGTGGGTCATATTTTGCCCACCCCAACACTAGAGACTGAGCAGAGATATGCTAGATCTGCTCCCTGCCTCCCAGCAGCAAAGGATGGGGGTGTGAAGCTGCTGCCTCCCTGGGAGGGTGGCTATACTCCACCTAATCCAAATCACCAGCAAGAGTGTTGGCGGTGTCATCACAAAGCATTCTGGGATATGCTGGTGCATAGGGGTGGGAGGATTCCTGAAGTGGACTGACTGCAAGGATGGACTGACTATAAGGATCCTCAGCAGACTAGTTTCTTTGGGTAAATGTGATATCTTTTATTAGACCAACTAAATAGTTGGAAAATTTCTTCTCTGCAAGGTTTTGGTCACAAACACCCTTCTTCAGGTATAGGGAGAGTCTGCTGCTGTTTTGGAATGGAATAGAAACCAATATGCAAAATGCAGGTCTGTGAAAATGTAAATGCGTGGCAGTGAGGATCAGAAGGAATGGGAAACAACAGGTGTGAGACAGGTAGGTGTGGGTGGGGGGAAAGGGGGATGTTGACCGGGTGATGGAATGTAGCTGGTAAATGTAGAGAGGTTGCCTGGGGTTATCAGATGGCAGGCAGGGTATAATGTGCCATAAATCCAATGTCTATATTTAGTTCGTGACTTTTGTATCCAATAGATTTATGAAGTGAAATTCGTAGGCTCGTCTACAGAAGGTGTTTTGTAAGTTCCCTTTAAAGATTAGAACTGAGAGATTGGAGAGAGAGTGGTTGTCTTGTGAGAAGTGTGCACCCACAGGTAATTGGGTGCTTTTGTCTTTGATAGATTTTCAGTGAGCGTTCAGTCTAGTACACAGTTGTTTGGTTTCTCCTACATATTTTCCATCAGGGCATTTAGTGAACTAGATGAGATGTATAACATTTCTGGAGGTTCAGGTGTAAGATCTAGGAATGGTGATGGTTCTTTTGTGGGGTGTAGTTGTTGTGGGGAGGGTGGAGATGTGTTAGGTTTACATTTTTTGTCTTGGCATGCTCTGGATCCATTTAGTGTGTTTTGGGCTACAGGCCATTTGCTTCTGGTGATGAGATTGGCAAGGGTCAGTGCTTGCTTAAAGGCTAAGATGGATGGTTCTGGGAAGATCTCTTTAAGAATTGGATCTTATTTTAGTATGGGTTGCAATTGTCTGAGGATTTTCCATACAGGTTCCAGGGAGGGATGGTATGTCATAGCTCATGTTGTGTGATTTGTGGGGATTTTGTTTTGTACTGCAGCAATTTTTCACGTGGTATCCGGGTGGCTCTTTCAAAAATGTGATTGATCTGTCTGGAAGGATCCTATACATTGATGGGTCTGGGAACACTTGGGCATCACAATGGAAGGCGAATAGGTGAAACTTCCAAACAGTGAGGCATGGACAAGTCTCCAGGGTTGGGATTTTATTTGTGAAGATTACAGCCTTGGTGACTTTCTCTCTCTCTTTTTGTCCCCAGCACGCAGAGCAGGAGATCTTCGAGAGGTTAGTAATCAACCATGCACAGACCTTTTCCAGGCTGGTTCTTACTTGCACTATTAGCTGAGCCACTTGTGCCCAGGCTTTGGGTCACATGCAGCATTGAGCAGCATGCCACTGCTCAGGCAGAAGGTGATGCTGACCTTTTCCTTGCCACTGCAGCTTTTGTTCAGGACGTTGCACAAGGGAGCTAAGTCGTCATGCAAATTAATGTCCCTTGCCCAGAATGTCATACTAAGGCTCTGCCTTGCATGCTGTATTATGGCTTAGATATGAAAACCTTTGCTGTTTTATATGGCACCAAGAAACCACAGTGGCTAGGGCAAGCGACTCGATGATCTGTTGAGGTCCCTTCTGACCCTAGCATCTATGAATGTGTGTCTGCACGGATTAAAACTGATATGTATGTTGGCACGGGCACACTTGCATGCATGCTTGGGCCTGAATGCAGGGCACAGACTCTCACTGTTTGTAGATTATTTGCTTATCTACTATTTAGGTCCTACTAAATCTGGTGGAAAAACTTCCCCTGAGTCGAGTCAGTGATGGATCACATCCTCACCTGGCATGTTGACAGGAGGTAGAGACTATTCTACAGAGCCTTCAGTACTCCTGTTCTGTGGGTATATTTGGGACATTCACAGAGGGAAGCATCATTCAGAGTTGTCTATGAACTCCCTCACACAGGGCTTTGCATTCTAGCAGCCTCCTTATTAAACAGAGAAGTCATTCATGAAGCACCTGAAAATGGAGAACCAGGTGTATTTATAGGCTGGGACTGACCTTGAGCTGCCATCTGCTAAAATAGAAATCCAGGGCTGGATTTTGGAAGGTTTTGCAGTGACAGTTAGTCACTTACTGGTAAATACCTTTAGAAATCTGGTCCTGCCCAGGTTTTGCACTCTATGGCAATACTTTAATTATAGTACTGTTCAGTGCAGGATCTGCCTGTTGGACTACTCTCCCCAGATAGTTGTTGGGTTTTTTTTTTTGCTTTATGTTTGGTTTCAGTGAATAAAAAAGACTGTACAGCAGATTATTATATAGCAGACTTCAAGGGCTCAGTCTTTCCTTACAAACCTGATAAAATTCATGTATGCACTGCTCACCACACAAACTTGTCAGGCCTTCAGGTCTCTTTCTATGCCATGTTAAATACTTCAGGAGTCTTGGCCTGTTCTTATACTGTCTATCCCTCCTTTGTAACAATGATGCTTTGTCTGTGGGAGGCCTCACAAGGAAATCTAATTTGCCCATCTCACCATGTTGGCTGCATTCTCCTGTGTTTTGTGGGCTTGTGTCAGAGCTATTTTTTCTGTGTCAACTGAGCAGCGAAGCTGTTGATTCTCAGCCTTTTGGGATTTTATTGTAAAATATCAACAGCTTTTTTTAAATGCCTGTAATCAAAGTCAACAGAAAATATCACTTGGGCTTCCAGGTAAAGAGGCCGCCATGTCCCTTGTGTAATTCCTCTGCAGTCAGCACTGCTCCTGGGACTGAGTCTGGCTCAATATCTCTGTCACACTCCT